CCCCTTCATTGAGAAGGCAGTGGGCTATGTAGTCTTGACAAACAAAGCATTTGCCTTCTCTGCGCATCAGTTTTCTCACTTAAAAACAAAAAAAGATGGAGGGTGGTAGTTGTGTGAAGTAGATTGGGCTGTATATAGTCTCTAAGTCCCCCTTCTGGCTCTGACATCTTGAGAGACTTCAGCCTTGTTTCTTGTACATGGTTAGGTTTCCATGAACATCCTTATCCTAGGAAGAGTACCCTGGGAGATGGAGAGACTTTAGTTCTTGGGCCTCTCGAGTTTTCTAACTTTTCAGGTCACCTTTGAAGCCAAAGATGGTGCATTAGATTATATCCCATGAAGATTCTAGATTGCCATCACCTTGTAGCAGCATGTCATCACTTTTATAGTCAGGTGACTTGGAAAGAAATCAGGCGAAAGAATCTTGAGTTGGTTCCTTCACATTTCTTACAATACCTGTCCTACCATGGGAAAGAGCTGGACTTAGTGGAATTATTTGTCAACCTGACTTCTCAAACTGACACTAAAGTTGGAACCTTTATGGTGGTGATTAGAATCATGGCATTTAAATCTAGAAGAGACCTTAGGGATCATCTAGTTCAACATCCTCAATTTACATGTGGGGAAACAGACTCTATGAAATTATGTGACTTGCCTAAGATCCTACAGTTAGTTAGTAACAGGATGGAAGTTTGAACACTTAGGATCTTTTAACTTCAGATTCAGTATTCTTTCCCTTTTATTGATTTTTAAAAAATTAACTTCTCCAAGAAGCATTAGTTGTATTTGCCTGGTTTGAATATCAGGTGTAGTTCTATCCTTCTGTCTCATTGATGAAAAGTCAGATTTCTTGGGAAATACTGTGGTGACCCTATCAAATGAATGGGTCTAGACTTGGGCAAGCAAGACCATTCTTTCCAAGGGCAAAATTATATTCCTTTTTATCCTGATCACTGTGGTAATGTGGTAATGGCACCTCATATTTGTGGTAATGACACCTCATATTTGTTGTTTAAATGCTATATATGATTTTGTTGCTAAAAAGCAGCATGGAGTAATAGATAGACTGTCAGCTTTAAAATTTGAAAGACCTCTGGGTTCATGTCCTGCCTCTGTTTGATAATCTTTATTTTCTGATGAAAAAAATGGTCCCTTTCCTCACCAAGGCCAATCTCTACTTGGATCCCTGACCCCATCCCCTTGATACTTCTTCAGTAGATTGCCCCCACAATCATCATTTCAGTCATTCTCTTTCTATCTGATCTTCAGTCTCTTCCTATCTATTGATTTCTTTCTTGCCGCTTACAAGCATGCCCTAGCTTCCTCATCTTTAAAAAACCTTTCCTAAACCGTACTATCTCCTCAAGCTATCATCCTATATTCCTCTTCCCTTTTATTCATTTATTTTTTGGTGGGGCAATCAGAGTTAAGTGACTTGCCCAGGGTCACACAGCTGGGAAGTGTCAAGTGTCTGAGGCCAGATTTGAACTCAGGTCCTCCTGACTCTAAGGCTGGAGCTTTATCTACTGTGCCACCTAGCTGCCCCTTCCACTTCCCTCTTAAGCCAAACTACTAGAAAAAGCTCTGCCTCCTCTTATTCTTCTCCTTTCACTTCTTTTCAACCCCTTTCCATCTATCAGTCTGAACTGGTCACTCAACTGAAATTGCCCTCTCCAAAGGCACCAAAAATTTCTAAATCAAAAAAAATTCAGTGGCCTTTTTTCAGTCTTCCTCCTTGACTTCTGTTTTGTTATAGCCCTCCAGCATTTCCTGGGAGGAGGTAGAGCTCCCCCTATTGACTCTTGCTTTCTGTAGCTGGGATCACAGTGCCATACTCCCTCAGTGTAAATGTGGCTGTCAATAGATTAAATCCTCGTCTGGATGCCCAGTTTTTGTGTAAGGAAAGTCCCCATGGGGCAGCTAGGTAACGCAATGGATAGAGCACTAGCCCTGGAGTCAGGAAGACCTGAGTTCAAATCCAGCCTCAGACACATAAAAAAACTGACTAACTGTGTGACTCTGGGCAAGTCACTTAAGCCCGAGTGCCTCACCAAAAAAAAAAAATCCTTTTGAGGAAAGACCCCGTGGGCCAATGGAAGACATTGGGGAAAACAATCCTTTAATGAATTTGAGTGTTGAGAATAACATGTGAAACAGTGAGAATCAGTTCAATGCAAAGCTTTTTGCAAGCAGTAGGGAAGAAGGGAAGAGGAAATGGGGACCCTGAAATAAACTGAAAGAGAGAGAAATTCATGTAAGGATGGCACTGTGTTGGGAAGCAGACTCAGGTTCATTTAGCAGGAAGGAGGTGCTCTTCTGAGAGTGGGGTTCTTATACTATGATTTTGGGTGCCCCTCACAAGAGCTGGCAGATTTGCATAGCAGGGGTCAAGGCGAAATATTTTGGGGGTTTGTTACCAGGAAGAATGTCGCCTACAACCAGATAGCACACCGAACAGAGAGGCGTGAAATAAGACATGAAGTGGGACCAGGCGGAGCAGAAGACTGACTTAGTTTACTTTTCTGAGGGTACAGGATATATAGAGAAAATCCATCCTAACTTCAAAGAGCCCTCCCCATGAGACACTCCTGAAACATCTGCTGAGGATGTGATAACATACATTTCCTCCTTATCAGAGTTCCTAAATAGAGTTGTAAATTCCAAGGCTTTTTCCTGGCACCTGTATAGAGGAGTGAATATGTAAATCTAAGGTTCAAAGAGTGAGAAGGAATGTCTCAGGAACCTTCTAACAGGGAGAGATTGGAGAGCCGTGCCTCTTAATCATTGAGCCCTTTTGGGTAAAAGCCTGGGTAGAGGTCAAACTCTGCCCTGGATCTTAAACCCATATCAGACTCTTAAGATCGGCCCTTTACGAATTAGCAAGCAGCTTGAGGTGGTGAACATCTGTTCCCAACACTGTGATCCTTGATTTAATTAAGGTAACAATACAGGGGATAATAACACTGCCCAAGAAAATGCATGAAGTAACAAGGCAGGTAAATTCTTAAATTTTTCTTACTTAATTCTTAATTTTTCTGACTTAATTTTTCTAAGATCTCTACAGCCAGATTTTTTGGGTTGGCCCCCTTGGAATGACTGTCTGCAATCTCCTGGGTGGTATTTAGAATTGTGCCAGGCCCCCAATAGGCAGGCACTTGTCTTGTCTCATGAGATATTAGGATCTGAAGCATCATAGGGTAGCAGGATAATGTAAATATATGAATATCTGTAATCACATTGCAATAGCAACCTTGTTTTCAAGGGTTCTAACTTATCTGCTAAATACAATACTGATTGTTCTAATAAATTGACTTTATACAATGTATCAATAGCTTCTTGTGCATTAAGTACTAAACATATTTCTTGCTAAGTTATATACAAATTATGTAGTTTAGATTTCAGATTGTAGCATAATAGATGAAACAGCAGTAGATACAATAAAAGAAGCAACAATGATTAAACCAATAATAAGGAGACAAATAAATTGTTTTGATTGACTTAAGGAGGAAGTAATAATTTGAAGAACATGTTCACCAGAATTCTGAAACTATTCATGTAAAACGTTGGTAGGGAAAATAGCAAATGATTGTTCTACCAAAAATGCAATATAGTCATCATTGTCAATATACAATTGACACAAGTAACATACTATTCAAAAGTAGTATTAGATTGAATAAAAGTTACATATCCATGAGACAAACTGGTATTAAAAACTGATGTAACAAGGAAAAAACAGGATTCAATATTGTTGCTAAATTTTGAAAAACATATAGGTGTCCTGGATGCTAGAGATCTGAGGGTAATTGTAATCTTGACTTTATCCTGGAGATAGGGATCTTCTTGTCTTCCGAATATACAGGTGTTATTAGTGTATGTATAGTCCCAATTTGTCCATATATGTGAGAGGTTGCATCCAGGGTGGAAAAGGAAAAATAAGTCCAGTGCTGAGCACTCTGTACATTACACACTTGAGCAGAAAGTAAAGCTACTATTACTAAAAATACAAGTTCAGGAGTCTTTTATCACTTGATGAGAGGGAACTTTCACTGGACCTCATGTAGGAAGGCGACTTGTCACTGTAGATTGGCTCCTTCTGCACTTTCCCCAAATTCTCATACTCTGTATTCAAGCTGTGAGTTGTTATACACGCTCTGACATCTTTTTCCAGTATCCGGACAGGTTTATCAAAGTTTTCTGAAAAAATATGTAAGCACACCCTCGTCCCCTTGTTAGTAATGGATCCGGGCCTCTGGATGTTTTTAGGCTGGAATGTACTCATCTTTGTTAATATTTAGAAAATTAATAGCCAATTATAAAAATTAATAGCCAATTGTCAAAAATTAATAACCAATTATCAATGAGGGGTAGTAGCCCAGATTCCCCCCTTTTTTTTTTTGAAAAGAATAATTTTAATATCTTTGTTTTTAATTATATAAAATGTTTGTGATCAGAGAAATGTTATAAAAAGCATAAAAGGAAGAAAATGTTTTGCTAATGGAAGCTCCTCAGGAGCATTATCTGTTTTGATTCGTTTAAGTACACTCATAACTGTGAAGGCTTGTAAAATATGATTGATCACATATTTAATTGTACCACTTGTTTGTAAAGTGGCAAAAATGAAAGAAAAAGTATCCATTATAACATGAGTATAAGAAAGCTTTTCAAAAGAAGGCATATAGGTTACATCCAATTGTCAAATATGTTTGGGAGAAAAGCCTCTTGATACATTTGAAACAGGCTGTTAATTAAAAAATAATCATTATTCTTTATACTATGTTTCTAATACTGTAGGAGTTTATTCAAAAATAGTCACAAAATGTTTTCTTCTCTACAGTTAAGGTTGTTGTATTGGCAGAATATAGTTAATAAAAGGCTCAATAAAAGCTTAATAAAAGTTAAGTGGCAGCATTGTAGTTAAGAATCAATAATGGCATTGCTTTCAGTATATAATTGTGTATTAGTAATATATTTTAACTTTGCAGTCTCTATATTCTGAGAGACATAAACAGATTACTTGTTATCAGAAACAACATTAATAGGCTCATAATATCTTGCTATACCTGTACTTAACCCATCGATGAATGTCATGGGTGCTGAAGGAATGGGGTTAAATCTAACAATCTTTTTGAAATACCTATGAATAATTAGTAAAAAAGGTTAATATCTTAAGAAATGGTAAGTAATTATCAATATCAATATGACCAGAAAAAATAGTAATAGCAATTTGCCAATTCTTTAAGAGGAAACAAGAGTGTCTATTTGCCTTTTATTATAAGGTTAATTAATAACAGAAAGTAAATTTCCTGTAAGTTAAAAATTGTAGGGGACACTGGAGTACTAAGAATAGCATCTGGTACCTCTTCATTTAAAAAATATGGGTAAGTTGAGCTTCAGGAATTTTTCTGTTTGACTAAATAAAGCTCCTTTTTTGCTTCAGGAGTTAATGTTTTAGGGGAATTTAGATTAGGATCTCCTCTAAATGTAAAAAAGAAATTAGCCAGTTGTTCTGTAGTAATTTGGAATGTTGGTCAAAACTAATTAGTATCCTCTAAAAGTTTTTGAAAATTCATTAAGTGCTTCACTGTTGTTTCAGTGACAATATGACCTAGGTAGGAAAATGGAGATTTTTCTTAAACTTTTTCTTGGGCTATAATAAGCCCATATTCTTGTAAAGCTAATTGAGGCTGAGGAAATAAATGTGTGAGTTTTCAGTGGAACAGCTACAAAGTATGTCACTATATAGTGTATTATTTTTGCATTGAGAAATTTTTTCCTAATTGGTTGTATAGCTTTATTAACAAAATTTTGACACATTGTAGGGCTGTTTTTCATGCCTTGAGGAAGGACTTTCTATTGAAACCTGGTTGCAGGGTGTTCTGCATTAACACTGGGTATTGTAAAAGCAAAACAACATTTGTCAGCTTCTTATGGTTTAATAGTAAAAAAGCAGTCTTTTAAATCAATAACTATCAAAGGCTAGGAAACAGAATTCATAATGGGTGAAGGGAGACTTCATTAATAGCTCAGAGGTCATGAAGCATCCTCTATTTCACTGACTTCATTTTAATAACAAAAACAGGTGAATTCCAAGGATTTGTAAAGAATTCTGTATGTCCTTTTAAAAGTCTTGCTCAACTAATTGCTTTACTGTAAAAAGCTTCCTTTTTGTCAAAAGCCACTGTTTCACCCAAACTAACAGCTCCCCTTAGATGTAAAATATCTTGCCCCCACAAATTAAAGGGAATTAATTGAGTTTCAGCTATCTATTATTCTACTTAGTTTAAATTCATCTTAAAATAATTGATTAGTGGTGATCTACGAGGCAGGCTAAAGTTAATTAATATCTTTAAGAGTTTTCGGGGCAGCTAGGTGGTGCAGTGGATAGAGCACCGGCCCTGGAGTCAGGAGTACCTGAGTTCAAATCTGTCCTCATACCAAACACTTGACACTTACTAGCTGTGTGACCCTGGGCAAGTCACTTAACCCCAATTGCCTAAAAACAAACCAAAAAAAAAGTTTTTAAAGAATCTTGCCTATTTTGTAATAGTTTGGGGGTCTAATTGTAGACTGTGAAACAATATGTCTAAAGTAAGCAAAGGGTGGTTTCTTTTGTGCCTTATCAGGAGTAATTATAAATCTTTGAGACTGAAGAGCTTGTTAAAGCTCACACATTAATAAGGAAAGTTCACTAAGTTTATCATCCATATAATAAATTATTTTTGTCTGGGAATATTTTTGCCCAACAGGTTTAATAGTGTTATGAACAAAATTTTTGCACATGGTAGAAAGCATTCCTTAATAGGAAAACTTCAAATACTAATTTAATAGAGATGACTATACCCAAATTAAAACTCAAAGCAAAATTAGTTATAGTCCTAAGTCTTTCACTAACCATGGCTTAAAGCCAGATATAGTTAATTTTACTCTCGTGGAGTTGTAATAAGTAACAAAGATTTACCATGAGTCACATACATGAGATTTCACTTAACATCTTTCTTTCTCAAATTTAAACTTTTTCTGGTAAAAAAGCCAATTATTAGAAATCATTTCATATAGTTGCAGCTTCTCAGCAAGCTAAATTAATTGTTTAGGTACTGCATAATCCTAACAAGTTCTCTCTCTCTCCCTCCCTCCCTCTCTCTCTCTCTTCTCTCCTCCCTCCTCCTCCTCTCCCTCTCCCTCCCTCCTCCCTCTCTCTCTCTCTCTCTCTCTCTCTCTCCCTCTCTCTCTCTCTCTCTCTCTCTCTCTCTCTCTCTCTCTCTCTCTCCCTCCCTCCCTCCCTCCCTCCCTCTCTCTCTCTCTCCCTCCCTCTCTCTCTCTCTCTCTTTTTTTTTCCCCAGGGCAGATGACCTTGCCCACAAAAGATAATTTCCAGGAGCCCTGGCAAATTTTCGAAGTAGACGGAATTACCTTGTGCCCCTCCTTTTCACTCATAAGTAATTAAAAATTCTAGGTTTTAACATTAAAACAGTAACTTCAAATAACTTAATTAACGATCTGGTAATTTTCATAAGTGATAGTCAAATTGTTTTAACTATGAGCTGTTCTTTAATTACAGGTAAAAATAGAAATACCTCACTTTCTAATTGACAGTTATAAAACATTACAAAGCAAGATTAACCGGACTTGATAAAATAATTTAGCTGGCTTTTACACAGCTTTCCCACTGTCTTTCAGTCTTTTTAATTCACATTTTAATAACATCTAAATTATTGAAAATTGTTTGATGTAACACAAAACAATACAAAAGTTTACCAATTTGTAACGATACTAGATTTTTAAAATTTGAAACAAGCATGTTGCTAATGTGAATGAACTAAATTATCTTTTAGATTGTGTTCCAGTACTTAAAAACTTTTCTTTTTGAATTGAAGAGGAAAACTCCTCATCTTCTCCTTCTTTCTCCCCCACCCCAACCTGGCCAGGGTTCGAATTGGAGAGAAAGGAAGAGAATATTTTTCAACATAATCTTTCAATCTTACACCCAAAGCTTTGGCCAGGGCTTTAGAATGCAAAAAAGAAAGAGAACTTTTTCCTAACAATTCTCAAAAAGTTTCAAAACCTTTTTACTTTCAAAACCTCTAATCACACTGTGCAAATAAATTATACCTTCCTTAAGCTTGCTATACATACTCCTCTCTCCTACATGCAAACTTATTTGCCTAGCTAATTTTAAGTCCATGGGCACTTCTTCCCCTCTGCTTTCTGGCCTTTGTATCTCCTTTTCTAACATGCCCTTGCATTTAAATTTTCTCCCAGGCAGTTTTTTAACTGAAGGTAAATGTACATCTTTGTGTTGCTCAGGGGAATGCACATGTCTCTGTTGTTTAACAGAATGCACATCTTCCCAGTCCTTTTTAACTATGCTCAACTGTTCCTCAAAGGCCTTATGCATTTCTTCTTCCTCATCTGTTCCTGCCCCCTTATCTGCCCGAATCACTTTCTCAGCTACTAGTAGTTGCTTGCCTGCAATCTCCCATTTCTCTGAATCAATTGTGCCTTCTTGTGGAAACCATGGGCAGCATTTTTCTACACTTTCTAAAAATTCCGTAGCTGACTGTTTGGAATAACTAAACCTCTTTCTTTCACTATTTTCTTTAGTAATCTTAGTTAATAATCTCTATCTCTTTTTCCACTTTGTCCCTGACCCATACTTTTGATCTTAAAGGCGCCTCTTAAGACCGAAAGTATGTATGTGGGCCTTTCCAAAGTGACACTATTTCTTATGCTCTAAGCCCGTTTCTAAATTTTCTAATCAATTTCTTGTAATTTATAATCTCCCACGTAAGCCTGGTGATTTTTTTTCCTTCGTTCCCTTTACCTTAGCACCGCAGCGTCCAGCCCCTTAAGGACGTTGTTTCCTGGCGTAGTAGCCAGCGAGGGTTTCTTTTCCTCCAGAGCGTTCAAGGGAACCGTCCTCTCTCTGACTCTTCGTCACTGTTCGACGCGCCATTTGTTGCCCGCAACCAGATAGTACACTGAACAGGGAGGCGTGAAATAAGACATGAAGTGGGACCAGGCGGAGCAGAAAACTGACTCAGTTTATTTTTCTGAGGGTACAAGATATATAGAGAAAATCCATCCTAACTTCAAAGAGCCCTCCCCGTGAGACACTCCCGAAACATCTGCTGAGGATGTGATAACATACAGAAGAAAAACTGCTGGTAGACAAAATATTATTTGAGAAACACAGCTGTACTAACCTTTGAAAAATATTTTTCCCTGAGTATGTTCTGTAAGCTTACAGCCTCCCTTAAGGAGAGACTATCACAGTGATCTTAAGACCACCAGGCCCAATCTTATAACACATGTAACACTGTTGCCCACCTTCCCTTCCTGTATACACTCTTCTCTCTGGGTTTTGATAATACTCTTTCTTGGTCCTTCTCCTAACTGTATTACTGTTTCTTCTTTGTGCCTTTGCTAGATCAGCATCATCCCATGTCCTAAGCCTTAACTGTAATTGTATCCCAGGTTCTGTCCTTGGTGGTTCCTCTTCTCTTGTATCTCTACCACCATCTTTTTCCTTGGTAATCTCATTAACAGCTCTTGGTTCATTGATCATCTCTGTGCAAAATCCAAGATCCATATATCCAGACCTCATCTCACTTTTGAGCGGTATTCCTGTGTCACCAGATGCCCTTTGTAAATTTCTTACTGAATGTCCCATAGTCATCTGAAACTTAATACAAAACAGAACTCATTATTTCCCCCCTCAACACCGAACTTCCCTATTTCCATTAAGGATACCACCATCCTTCCAGTTAACTAGGCTTGCAACCTTGGAATCATCTTCAACTCTTCTCTCCTTCAGCCCTCCTATCTGTCTGATCAGTTGCTAGTTCTTGTCGATTCTGTCTCCATATTTCTCATCCGTGTCCTTCTAATGTAGCTACCACACTGTGGCCTTATCACCTCTCACCAGCACTATGACAGTAGTCTTAGCTTCCTTGCCTCCTGTCCCTTCCTTCTGCAGTCCTCCACCCAGCTGCTTAAATGCTCAGACAGGTCTGACCATATCACACTCCCCTCCTTCCTACCTCCTTATTGCCCCTAGAATAAGCTAGAAACTCCTTACTTTGATATTTAAATTTCTTCACTGTGGGGCTCAAGCCTGCCTTTCTAGATAGCACTCATTACTTCCTTTCATATTTAAACCGCCCAGTCAAACTGGCCATCTTGCTTTTTCTAACCACAACCTTTGCTCCAGTTGTCCTCTAGGCCTGGAATGCAGTCCTTCCCTTCTGCCTTTCAGAATCTCAGCACCCACCTCAAGAGCCACCTCCTACATGAAATCTCAGCTGCTTGTGTTCTCTCTCTTCCCCTCCCCCTCGCCCCCCCAAAACTCCCTTGTGTTTACTTTGTATATGTTTTGTATTTATTTATCTACAGTTTGTACATGTTTTCCCCAGTATAAACTCTAGGACCTAATAGAGTGCCTTCTTCCTAGTAGGCTCTTAAATGCTTATTGATTGATTGATTTGTTATTGATATTTGATTTGTTACCCTGGAATAGTCACTTAACCTGTTAGTGCCCCAGACAACTCTATAACACCAAAAGATGAAGAACAGTTGTCATCTGCATTGATGAAGAGACTTTCCTCATTGAGAATTTCCTTTACTCATAGCACAGGACCAAAATTGCTAATTTTAAAAGAGTTTTATTGATGCTTTTTGTTTTTACATCACAGTAATTTGTGGCTGTGTTCTCCCCTATTGCCCAGTGAGCCTTCCCCTTGTAACAAAATGAGTAATAGTTATCTGGCTCTGTCTGAAACATTCCACATCTGTAGTTACTCACTTTCCTCTCCAAGGAAAGAAGAATGGTGCATCTCTTTTCTGGGACGAGATTGTTCAATATAATCACAGCTTTGTTCTTTCCATTTATGTTATTGTGGTCATATTATATTGTTTTTCTAGGTCTGTTTACTTCATGAATCATTTCACTCAAGGCCTCCTATGTTTCTCTAAATTCCTCATCTTCATTTCTTACACTCCAATAATATTACATTACATTCATAGTGTTGCTGTGGTTATTTAGTTAGGATTATATGCTCAGGATAGTAATTTTAAAACACACATACAAGTACACACATGCACGTTGAACCCTTCCTTGTAACAAAGAAGAACATTTAAATAGTCTACCAGCAATCAGCATGCATTTAGTAAATGCCTACTGTGGCACTTTGCTAGACACAAAGCCAGCCAACAACAAATGTATCTCACTGTACATATTGAATTTCACATCTCTGGTCCTCACCTCTTTCCTGAGAGAAAGAAGATATGTTTCCTTATCAGTTCTCTAAGACCAATATTGTTCCTTACACTTCATCAGCATTGCTTACGTTGTTGTTATTATCATTGTTATATTGTTCGCTTTGTCCTGCCTTCATTACTCTGTATCTTCATATGAGTCTTCCCTTGTTTCTCCCAATTCCTTATGTTATTTTTTTTAATTGTACAGTAATAATTATTCACATACCATAAGTTTCTTCATAAATTCCAAGGTAGTAAGTAATTTCTCCATAATTCCACATTGGTCTCTTTAGATTGTTTCCCCTTAGGCCAAATTCTCTGTAAAATCTTAGGCAATAAGAGCCTTTCTTCTTAACTCAAATCCAGCTTCCTGATATCTAGGGTGCATGTTGAACTACTCTTAACTTTTTCCTTCTTTATCATAGCTCAGTGGTGAAATGGTCATTTCCTCTCAAGGTTCTCATTATTTCTTAGGAAGCAAGCATTTCTTTTATATTGGTCAGGATAAGGTGTAGAACAGTAGTTCCCCTTCTTTGCTTCATATACCCTTTGAAAAAATGAAATTGTCATTAAAGCAAATCAAAAATTTATCAGCTGCTTTGCTGTAATAGACTAAGAAAACTCCAGTGGATGTCAGGGTAGTTGAGATGATAGCAGCATTGTAATCTGATGTTCAGTTCTAAGAACCACATTTTAGCAAGGTTGTTGATAAGCTGGAGGGTACCCCAACAAAGGTGACTAGGACAGTGAAAGGCTTAGAGAACATACCATGTGATTGGAGATGTTTAGCCTGTAGAATTGAAAGCTTAGGACATGATGGTAGGTAGCATGATACAGTGAAGAGAGTGACTCTGCCCTGCTCCCTTCCCCCTTACACTCACTATGAAGCACTGAAGAAGTGCATTAACAAATGTTTGTAGAGTGCAGTATTTCCACTAGGGAATGTAAATTTTAATCTCTGAAATTTTTTTTTGTTTTTTTTTTCTCTTAAAAGACCAGCTTTAACCCCAAATCATTTCAATCCTAGACCAAGCTCTACTTGGTCACTGTTTAGGCCCAGATTGGTTCTGAATGAATGTAAATAACAATTTTTTCTATTTTGGCCAGAAACCCTGAGTGTCTTCACCTCCCAGATCTATTTTTTTTAAAAGAGGCCATTCTGTGCCTCATTTTTTAGAAGCCTTAATTACTGAATGACTGCTGCCTCAGTCAAACTGAGACCTGTTAAAAACTTTAGTTTAAAAAGGCCAACGTCCACTACTGCATCCTGGGCCATCTCCAGTTGTTCTGATCTGTATCTGGCCACTGAACTCAGATGCCCCTGGAGGAGAAAATGAGGCTGGTGACTTTGCACAGCCCTTCCTCGCTTAAATCCAATTGACTTGCATGTCATGGCATCATCTCCCTGATGTCATAGTCTTCATCAAGAACAACAAACAGCAGCAATAGCAATTTACATTATATGAATGATGTATTAGAATATTCAGAGCAGACCCTAGAAGAATACCTTCGGGGTCTGCCTGTGCTTAATGGTGCACTTTTGTTACCAAAGGTGCTGACAGGAGTTGCTTATCAATAAAGTTGATATTTTCTCTACTTGAGTAGTCCCTTTAGTCTCTGAAAGGACTTAAGTGGTATTTTTTAGTAATGTCGGTGGTATCTACTCTCTTGACTTTGTATTTCTTACTAGGGCATATGTGAAAACGGTTTTTAGAGGAGACCTAGAAAGATAAAATTTCCTACTTTCTGGAGGAAATGGGTCATAGTGTATAACCTGGGAGCCTATGGAGTCATACAGGCTTTGTCACATCTTGGAAGAGAGCAGTTAGCTCTAGCATCAAGGTAGGGGGAGATAAAATGGATTGTCTGTAGCCTATTTTTAGAATAATCATAGAATCTCTGAGTTGGAGGGAACCTCAGAAATCGGCTAGTCTGATCTTTCATCCAGTATAAAAATCCTTTTTACAACATCCGGAAGAGATGGTCATCAAGCTTTTGCTTGAATACTTCCACTGGTGACAGCCCTTGCTATAGTAGGATAGCTCTAATTGTTAGGAAGTTCTCTTTTTTTTTTTAATTCTTTTTTATAGTAATGTTTATTAAGCTTTAATTTCACAGTATCTTATTTCAGTTCTGAAATCAGCCTACAAATATTTCACTACATTAACATCAATCTGGTGACCATTTAATAAATAAAGGATATCAAAATAAGTTTGATATATTTAGGGTTCCCAACAATGATAGCAGTAGAACTGATTCCCCAAGGGAATGCCTGAAGTCTTACACAGACATCGCTAGCAACAAATCAAGTTGTTTTATAGGGAAAAAAAACCCCACAACTGTTACAAACTTAAATACTATCTAAATCTCCAATCTGGTGTAGGAAACAATATGGCATCACCAATATCAGTGCTGACAATTGGTGTCATGCTAAAAGACACAATTAGGAAGTTCTGTCTTATATTCCAATATTCCATTGTTTATGTAATGTGGGTATTCCCTTCAATGATGCAGATGGTAACCCATCCCTGTGTGTCTGTCCTGTGTGACCTTCCTCCATCCTCTCCATACTTTAACTGAGGGGGGCCTTCCTGACACTCTGTACAATACTTGGATACCAGTGGAGCAGGCAGGCTATTTGTTGGTTGTCCCACACTGCCACTATGTGATAGGTCCATCTTTTTTTTTCTTCTGATCATACATTTCTTTGATGACATCCTTTATACCACTTGTCACATATAGTCTCTTGTGTGGCATCCTTCTAATACCATCTATTTTCCTTTGGGTGATCTTCAACTTTAGTTTTTCAGACATCGTAGTACTTCATTAGTCATAGCCATTTATCACTGGAAAAATACTGGGGTTAAAAAGATGGGCCTTCCTCAAAGAAGTCACTGACAGAAAGGAAGGCTTCAAAGACAATCAGATATTTATACCATCACTTTTTTTTTCAGTAGCAAAGAACTGAAAACAAAGTAGATACTCATTGATTGGGGAATGGCTGAACAAATTGTGATTAATGAATGTTCCATACAGTGCCACCTGTACCCCAGCTATCATCCTCAACCTTCTCATCCCTCTCCCATTGGAACCTTAGACTCTGATACCGAAACCACACTAAACTCTGATAGGTGAGCTCTCACCTTATGTTTCTGGAACTAGGCCTCCATGTCATTTCCTATCGATTTCCAGGCCATGCTGCCACATAAGTATCCCACCTTTCTAGTTCCCCTTTATGTGTGGTCTTCTCCCATTAAAGTGTAAGCTCTTTGAGGGCAGAGACTGCTTTGCTTGCTTGTGTTTATAACCCAACACATAGCACAGTGCCTAGCACATAGTAAATGTTTAATACATGCTCTATTACTGCTTTGTAAGAAATGATGAACATGCGGAATAGAGGGAAGCATTAGAGTCAACATGTGACCTGATGAAAGTCAGAGTTGGCATAGTCAGGAAAGCAGCATATACAGTTACTACAACAGTGTAAATGGAAAGACAACAACAACAAAAAACCTGGAAGATTTGAAATTACCATATTTTCACCCCGTAATCATTGAGCCATGTGCGGTTTCTCTCTCCACTCTCTCTCCCGCCGAGTCCAAAAATTGGTTTGTGCCTTTCATCAAGTAATTGTTGCATGGTATAATTCTGTTCGTCATGCTGCTTAAAAGGTAAACAAAGCAGCAATGTATTCACCAGTGGCATATGGATGGGCATTTATCTCTTGAGCATTGTGAACCAGAAGCCTAGAATTCTCAGCACAGGA